CCCCCCCCCCCACCACCCCCTAAACAAAAAGTCGGATCTAGGTATCCGCCTTTATCTATCCAGGAACGAACCAGACGAAACCAGCAACTTTTTGCAGTTTGTACCGCAAAAATGCCGTCAACGTTTTTTAATGCCGCCGGATGAAGCCACACAAACACATTATCCATCTGTTCCTTCCATTAGCAAAATACTAAATCTGACATGTACTAGTATGAATACAAATGATCTAATCAAGGAAGCATCAACACCATGAAAGACGTAATTTGACAAACAATATATTTGTGCACATTTTGACAAAAGGAATGACTATATTGTACCTTGTAGGACCTATAGATTGCTTGTAGAAAGTCACGTGTTCCCTGTAACTTAACTTTCAAATTGTTATTGGCGAATAATACCTCCCCCCCCCCCACTCTATTAAAACATTAAGTAATTCTTTTACAGCACCTACAATTATGATTTTAATTCTAATATTATTCTAGTACCATCATCGACAAATTAGTTGAAAATTTCTAACTGTACAATTCTAACCAGACAAATGTTTTAACCAGTAATCTCATGTGAATTGCTCTTTAACTGTTATAATTTCAAACCATTATTTTTACACAACCCTTTTATAGCTCAGTTTTCTTGGAGGTCAATTAACAAGTATATGTCCTTTTCTAAATATGGCTGGTTTAAAAAAATAAACCACTCTTGGTAAAATGTGAAAATTCCCCCAATGAAGAAATCATAATATATAAAAAATAAAATATCAAGTGGACAAAGACTCTACTAAAAGCTGTTCCCCTTCTGTAAACTACATTATATTAGGGAAATAACTTGAAAGCATGTTTGATACAAACTATAAAAACATCAGAATACAAGCAATGATGTTAAAATTCACATACGTCCTGGCAGAGAACTTTAAAGTTATTTCTATGTAATTATGATAAAAACTATATGGACAGAAAATACGTATATTCAAAAGAAACCCTTTAATCTGAAGGTATATTTGCTAATGAAAGCTTTGTTTATGACATACGAAAGCCCATTCATTAAATGTAAACTAATCACTAGAAATATGGATCAATTTTTTTTTTTGAAAGAAGCTCACGTTTTGCATACATCAAACAAATACATGTCAGTATGTTTCAGTGCATCCTGCTTTCCAGATATCAAATAATGTCTTTTTTAGTAGCTGCTTCACCATCTTACAGTACCATTTTATCAAAGAACACATAATACTCTCTGCCAATGCACTTCCTTGTAAAATAATATGACTTATTGATACCCTGATGATCCTTCAGTGGCAAAATCATTGTCTTCTTTTCAGTATACCTATCGATTAGAAATACTTTTCTTGTGTATGTATGATATTTACTGGTTAACTATAGACTAGTGGATTTTATGTTCAAATATTCCTCTAGGAAGCATGTGAAACGGAGATAAAAACGTTGTGTGACCATGAGCTAAAACCTACTCGTATAGAATCTCTGGGACTTTTTTTTCAAGCCATGATCACTTATAACTAGCACCCACATTTGACAGCCATGAACTAGGCTGTGTACAATGAAGTTGTTGCCATGGTAACAGTTCCTCTGACATCTTCCCTTGACCAAGTCTCTGGCTGTTGCCATGGTAACAGTTTCATTATTATCATCATCCCCTGACCAAGTTTCAGGCTGTTGCCATGGTAACAGTTCCTCTATCATCTTCCCTTGACCAAGTCTCTAGTCGTTGCATACTCGGGGTCCATTGCAAAATGTTCATTGAGTTGTTGGAAAGTGGGTCTGTTCTTGTCGTCATAGTCCCAGCACTGCAACATGATGTCATACACCTTCTCAGGGCACCTTTCTGGGATCTGAAGACGACCACCTTTTTCAATTAGTGCTATCACCTGCATCGAAAAAAAAATATATTGTGGTTTAAAGTATTTGATTATTCTAATGCAGTGTTTAACACAGCACTCATTTGTGAAAACCTCTAATGACCCTCTAAAGAGTTTCAGCCCCATTGTTTACGCATATATTTGGGAACTGGTTAAACTGTTCTGATTTGATAAACATTAAATTAATATTATCATTACAATAATAATAATAATAATAATAATAATAATAATAATAATAATAATAATGTCTGAATTAGTAGTTTTACAATTAATGTAGACAGAATATTTGAATTTAAAGGACATAAAAACTGGTAGGAAATTATAAACCATATGGGGCATTCAGCAAGTATCATTCTTTCTATTTTTTTTTTTATTTAACACAAATATATTGTCTCCAGTACAATATAGAGCTACACACACACATTATTCATCTCTTTCAAAGGGAAAATGTCCAATTCAGAGCATTTCCCAAAACATAATTATATCATTTTAAAACATGATATATTGATAGAAATATGTAAGAGAATGCAATGTTCAACCACTGGTGTAAGAAGAAAGAAAACAGCAGAACAGAAAGTTATGGTGCTAACAAACGAAGGGCTGAAGATCAAGATGCATAGTGTGGGAGAAGCTAAACCTGCCTCACAGCTGACAAGCAAGAAAAAAAAAACAGAAATATTACCTGTGCCCCATTCATCTCTCCATAGGGTTGCTCTCCAAATGAGAACATTTCCCACAGAGTGACGCCATAACTCCACACATCACTAGCATGGGAAAATGTACCATAGTTCACAGACTCTGGCGCATACCTAATTCATAATTAAAAATCTATGAATAAAAAATACATGCATCTTATTTTGACACATGATTTGATAGCCAAGGCAGATGCAAAAAACATTTACAAGATCTCTAACCATCGTTTTTTAAGTGGATAGTATTTGAATAACTACATTCCATTCTCTATTTATTCAAGGTACAGTCTTTATAAATGTATTCTAGTCGCAACTTAGAGCTTTAATTAAACTTGTTCACTTTTATTTACCTTTGTTAACTTATCACGTATGTCTACTTTCAACAGATGCACCTGCTGTAAATATTTTTTTTAATAATCTAAAATAAATTTAAAATGATGCTGGATATTAAAACTGGGTGTGTTGGTGGATGAAGGGGAGGGGGGTTCAGTAAAATTAAAGAGGAGATGGTTCTTCTCTGAAACTCGTGTGTGCGTGTGTGTGTGTGTGTGTGTGCGTGCATGCGTGTGCACACACTGACCATTTCACTGGCCACCGCCCTCCTGCAGAAGCCCTGTAGTAATCACTGCCAGCCCCAACTGCCCTTGATAACCCAAAGTCACTGATCTTGGCCTGGAAGACATTAAAATACTGTAAAATACCAAATGAGAAACACCTATAACCCTGATACTGAAACTTACATTAGCCTCTTACAAAGCTGCGTTTTCAACCTGAGACCTTTCACTACATATTTCTTGCTCTAATTCTGCTGGGTGACTTAAAACATCCACTTATCTGTAAAATACTGTTACTAAAGGTCAGATGTACACTTAATATATGTGTATTTGTGTATAAACATACCTCTCCCTATATGCACAGTGCAAAAAATAATTCATAAAGTAAGATCCGCGTCTGGTGAGATTTACTTTTTAATAATAATAATCATCTTCAGTGTATACTATTCAACCAACATCATCCCTCTAAAAAGAAAAAAATCTGGTGCATAACATAGCAGTTGAAAAATTCTGTGACAGTTAGAAATGTTTACCAACATCATATAAGTCACATGTACCTGTTTTTTCGACGCCAACAAAATATTCCTGGCAGCCAGATCCCTGTGTACGAACCCCTTGGTCTCCAGGTATTTCATACCACATGCTATCTGAGCTGCCCACAGCTCCAAGTCCTCTTTGATCCTGATCTTGTGTGGGTAGTCCAGCAGGAAGTCCAGCATAGAGCCCATAGGAACCAGCTCTTGTACCTAAGAAGGTCAGAAAATACAGATCTGTTTACTGGATGTGTTCTGGTATTGAAAATCTTAGCATAATGCAAAATGTGGTGTACTTTTAAATTGGTTTTTAAAGTATATAAAATATAGTTTATTTATTTATTTATTTATTTATTTATTTATTTATTTATTTATTTTTGCTGCAACAGTTTTGTTCCTTATTTGGTTCACATTGCTGATTTATCTTAAAATCTAAAGTTATTATGTCACGTTGTATTGAATAAACTGAATCATGAAATTACTTTTTTTACAAATTAAAGCAATTAAAAGTGTTAATCAAAATATATTC